GAATTGGAGAGATGTTATAGATGGCACTGAGAGCCCCCAGGAAAATGTTCTGAGAACACAAAAAAAAGAAAATAAACATTTTGTGGGTCCACAAAATCAGCCTCCCATTTATTGTCTATGGAGCAGCTCCAGACTTTATACTTGCTGACATCACAAGTTTGAGACTTACGTCTATGGTGTCTGGCTTAGTTGATGGCTTGATTGAACTGCCCTTGGCCTAACGTACTGGAATTCTTCAATTAGATTGTCTTCCCCTTCAATGTAGCTGATTATAGGATGACAATTTAAGCTCTGAAAAAAATCGAAGTCAACGTGCAAATCAGAGCTAAATTCAAATCACCCACCCTAATTGAACCTCTGTTGGAATCGCCCTCTTCATTAAAACTGATTATATTTGTGTCCATTTAAGTGATCTGAATACAGCAGATTAAGGAGATTAGGATTGCTACAACTACCTGTAGTAGTAGTGTTTGTGTTTTTCCTGTTTAGCTGGCACACTTTTTTGTACTGCAAACAGACATACAGAAAATGTCCAGCTCTAATCTGTCAGACTCTGATTTAGTGGTGTTTAATTTGGCCAGCACCATGTGGTCGTGCAGTAAACTCACTTTTCTCCCTCCAATGGCTCTGTGTTAATGAAGGAGCATACCTAATCTAATTAAAGCTTGATGTCACCCGATCAACTGATCTGTTGATAATTATAATTTGAGTTGATATCATCCTGTTCGACCGTAGATCATGCTATTCATGTGTGATTAGATCAACACCCTCAAATGAAGGAGCTTGTTCAGTGCCAGAGAGAAATTTGGCAGGCAGTTGAACACAATATAGCTATTTTAGGTAGAAGACACAACACCATTTCTGTTTTACAACAATTCGAAGCAAAGCCCCCACACCTCTTCCACTTTTTTTATTCCTCCACTTCCCAGTCCCTCACTGGTTTTCCCTTAACTGATTAAATACACAGCAGGGAGTCCTACCAAGTGATCATGAGACTGGTACAAATAAGATGGCTGACATGATAGTGATACTTATCATAAAACAGCTCCCATACACTCTATAACAAAGATATTTGACTATCAAAATATGCCAACATGTTAAATATTTCTCATAATCATGAATGATTGAAACTATAGACTTATAGGCTACTCAGTTACTTTTCCCATCATTGAGGTACTGAACTACAGCTTGTATTTATCATGCAGCCTTCCACTAATTCATATGATGAATCCCTATGTCATTGTGGAGGTAATCTTACTGTGTACTGAAGATTCTCATGACACGGTAGGGACTGTCCTCTCTTTTTCTGCTTTATTCTGTAACATGTGCATGCTAACAGTGTTGTTTCTCTCTCAGTCTGGGCTCAGCAGCTCTGCATGACTGCCTGGCAGACTCCAGGTACAAGTCATCATCATTATCACCACCAACACACACTCACACAGACCATTGACAGGTGTGTTGTCTTTGCAGCTCCCTTGCAATGTCAACATCAACATGGTCTTATTTCCATGCTTCCAATAGGCTTTGCATTGGTTGACATGTATGTTAGCTTACCGTTGTTTATGTTTCATCCCTTGTGATTCAGTCTTGCAGGTGTAGAATGCACATCAGATTTATTCATTAGCTGCTCTTTTTCTGCAACTTTCAATTGACCGTTCATTACACTGGAATGCAGACTGGCCAATCATAGCGTAGCATCAGCCAGCTCCGACCAGAGTCCGACAACTGTCCAGCTGAGCTCCAAAGACTCATGCAATCATTTCAGGTTTTCATCATTTTCAGGCTGGTTTAGTGGATTTGGAGCTAGTCATTGTTAAATATTGTGTAATAGTGATAGTCTTTAACTGATGCTAACATTAGCAGAGTAAGTTAGCACACTTTAAGTAGCGTTACTACTAAAGTGAAATGCTGTGTATATGCATTAACGCTAACTGAGATACTCATTGTCAGCCCTTATTCAATGTCATATAGTGTTTGTCATATTTTATGCTTTCATCTGAGGCCAAAAAACAGAAAAGAGGCGAATTGTAAGGCATCTTATGTTTACTGACTGTCCAATTAAATGCAATTGACAGTGTCACAGTATACAGTACAATAGTCTTAATGTTAAGTGAGGTAGAGAGGATGTTGGATGGACATACTGTTGGTAAATATCTCCCTCTGTCAGTAATGCACAGAAGCATTTGGAACAGTGCGTGTGTGTTTGTGTAATGTGACAGTGAACTGTATCTTTCTCACATACACTAACTTGTAATAATCATTGTTTCCCTGCATCCTGCAGAAAAGGCATTTATTTTCACTACAGCACACATCAGTGTTCACAACTGGTCTGCAGTTTGTTAACAGCGTAGTTGAGCCTGGTTGAGACTGTACAAGAGTCACGTGTGAAGTTGGACTTGACTGCACTTGATGACATTCTTTTTTATCCAATCATAGAGACTTATATGTGCGAGAAATAGACAGAAAAGATGTACATCTAAAGGTACAGCTATTATGGAATTTGTTTTTATTGTACACCCATTGCGTGCATGTACACGTAAAATGTTCTCACCTTCCAGTCTTGTTCATATTTCTACACCCACAAACATTTTCCACTCACTGAATTAATGAGCGTTTTGTCAAAAAGTCAAAAGTACACACAGGAGCAGCAGCAGGCATAGATGCTTCATTGATTTAAAGCGAGTCACCGTTGAACAGTTTTTTTTATTCAACTGCTGAAATGTTAGTGTGTGCTAGTGATTTTTCTTCCTCCTAATCACTCTCATACCGAAGTGTTCAGCAGTCCAATCCATTTCAATTATGTACGACCTTTTTTGTTCCTCACCCACATGCTCCGTTCACAGCTATGTTGATCAAAAAGACTGATGTGGACCAGCATGTTCTGTTGCCAGTAGGTGGCAGTATCTAGCCTCAGGAGCAGACCTGAACAACAGCGCTGACTGAGAGAGTACTCGCTCTTCAGTAGCATTTGGATTATATTTGTAATGTAAATTGGGTGCAGAACTATTTCTCACTCAATAAGGATGAAACAGGACTTGCACCCAATGATTTTCTCCGTTGGAATCTAACAATGTCGTCGGTGACAGTTTCAGCTACGACTGATTGCATTTTGCAAACTAAAATTTGTCAAATTTTCACCTTATCAGTGCCAGGCCTCAGAAATAATACTCAACTTTAAAGCATTTCATTTCAGATAACACCACAACACATAAGGTCATGCAGGTTGCACTGCATTACTGACACAAAGGCTGCACATCTGCACAGAAAACATTTGTGACATTCTACCAAAGTCTGCTGGTTTGTATTGAATCATTTAGAGGACTTATTTGTAGCCAGTGTGATTTGTCAGGAATCACACTGACAAATCACACTGCCTTCTCTCTGTCTGTGGGAGAGAAGAGCTTGTCAGTCACTGGAGCTTTGTATTAGTGGGGTTTAATATGTAATTACTGACAGTGGTCGTAGTGTTGCTGATGACTTAGGTTTATTTCCCCAGTCTGAAGTACAGAGAGAGAGAGAGAGAGAGAGAGAGAGAGAGGAACTAAAAATGGCTAAATAATATTTAAATCAGTTATACGGGTGATTATTGGGCAAAATGGGACAAAATCTGGCTGAAACCCCGCAAAAATATTCTCCCACAGATAAAAATAAATAAATATGCATGCAGGGCTGAATTAGGCCAATATCCTTATTTAAGTATTCAAAAAAGAGCTGCCAAATTCTGGAGCCATATTAAAAAGAGTGACCTTGCCTGTTATCATTACAAAGCCCTTGCCTGCCAACGTAAAAAGTAGTCGCCTCTGCCAACTGGTCTTTAGGCTTGCTGACCTTTAACCTTCTGACATCACAAAACCCAGCCAGTCTCAAATTATAACTAAAGAAAAAGACATTACACACTTACAACACATACTAGAAACATATTTGTCCCTTAACAGACAGCAAACTGTAACTGATAAGAACCTAGGAAAAATGTTGACAATAGAGAAGGACAGACGCACAATGTCAGAACTACAAAAATATATGGGAGGAATTCCTCCTGGAATTTGAAAAGAATTTCCAGAGTCTGACAGAAAGGGACACATGATCTCTCAATCTGTGGGGAAAGAAAGCATGTCCAGTGTTGGCTGCTAAATATGTCACTTCCTGCCACAACAAAAGAAACAAGCAGTGGGATTTACTTGTACCATAATCTGATTACCACCACCATCTCCTTTACTCATATTTACTTGCTTATATTTTCTTTTATTTGATTTACCCATTTTGTTATTTTTTTTATTTTATTATATAATATTATAATATTCACTGTATTTTTTCTGTTCGGTTTCATTTTGTTTTTGCTCATTTTATTAATTGTATTTTATAATTATAATTGTGCTTTGGCAACATATGACAAATGTCATGATGAGAGAGAGAGAGATAAATGGACTACAGGGAAAGAAGAATTGAAGGACGGTAGGAGCAGAGGAGGAGACAGAAAAGATGTGTGTTGATCTCTCTGTCTCTCTCTCTCTAATAGCTTTGTCTCTGGTAATGCACTCCTTAATGCAGCCGAAGGCTCATCACACACACACACACACACACACACACTGGCCACCATTACTACGCATCCCATGATGCATCTGCCTCAGTCTTGAACAGGGCGTATTCTTATTTACCAGATGAGAGCAGATGTATGAGACGAGTGTGTGTGTGTGTGTGTTGAGTTTTTTTTTTTTTTTTTTCTGTGTTCGGATGTTGTGGTAGTCCAGTATAGACTGACCAACACTTTGTATGTGTTTATATGCTTCATTTTGCTTTATTATGTTTTTTTCACCCGCACATTTGATTGTTATTCTATTCAGAGGATGGATGAGTGTTTGTAGTTCTATGTTGTGACCCTGCCTGCTGTGGTGTGAACTTCCACATTGTTAATGGGCTGAGTGAGTATTCTGTGTTTATGGACACCATGTTGAATGTTATACCTGCTACCTACATGCTAAGAGGTCGCTGTTCTCTTGCAGTGGACAAAAACAAGCCCCGGGAGGCGCTAGCAAGACCCACAAACGCCAACACCAGCTCACTGGCAGCAGCACCCGCAAGAGGAAACAACCAGAGAAAACAGCATCCTCCACCAGAACTGGTATGTCCTCTTCTTTTTGAAGTTTTGAGCTTTAAGATGCAAATTCAGTCATGGGCAAGACGGTATACATCAGAGAACATTACCGAGCAGGATCTGATTAATGAAAAGAAGTATAAGCCGTGTTGTTTGATGGGAGTATTTAAAGTGGTAATCCACAAGATGTTCCTTCTTCATGTGAGGTGTCCCTGCACAGTTTGTTAAGGTGGTTTCAAAGAAACTGCCACTGTTCATGCTAACGAATTTCTAAAGTTTCACAGGCATTTTTGAAATGGATAAAAGTTGAATCAATCAATCAGTGAGCCACAGAAAGTAGCAAAATGCATATATATTTATTTATAATGTAATGGCTAATTTTGCTTCTCTTTATATTTGTATTTCTTGACTGCATATTATCTTCTTCTCGTGTTAACAAGACTTTGTCTCCCAGGTGTGGTTTAGCATTTTAAAATGATGACTTCTCAACTGAGTGCTTGTGTGTGGACATCAGGAAGAATAGAATTGTGTTTGGGATCATCTTAAGACAAGTCATTCAGAATCATTTGGGTTGCTTTTTCATATAACTTATTAAATATTATCTTTCCCTAATAATCATGTCTTCTAATTAGTGTCTTTTTTTTCTTCTTTTTTTAAACTTTTTTCAGTTGCTGTTTCACTGAACAAAAATTGCGACAAAACATCGTTAAAAAAAAAATACAAATAGACATAAAAGTGAAAAAATAAATAAAAGAGGGTCACCATTCACTCTTTACAAACTTTGATCTATTCTTTTCAGGCCAGCTGAGAACACTACTCATCTTTTCCCTTGTTTACAGTCCATTTTCTCCAGCATTGATCATGGATCCCTGCTTTGATCCTTAGAAAAAGAGTCAGTTTTTCCATAGAATATATTTCCTCTACAATGTCCAGCCACTGTCCTGGACTTGGAGGGTCACTTTTCAACCAGCTCCTTGTGATGGCCTTTTTACTTGCGAGTATCAGGATTTTAAAGAGGTAGAAGTCCTTTTTTTGAATTATGTCGCCAGGTATCAATCCCAGGAACACAATCCGGGGGTCCCTGGGACTCTTGTAGCATAGAATCTCCTCCAGAGTCTGAATAACCATGTCCCAGAATGTTTGTATTTTTATACATGTCCAAAAAATGTGTGAGTGGTTAGCATTCATCTGCCCACACTGTCTCAAGCATGGCTGCTCTTTACCCAATTGTTTATGTTTTATGTGGGGTGTAATAAAAAAGCGGATTAAGTTCTTCCAACCGAATTCCCTCCATCGTCTAGAGCTAGTGGATGTTTGTTGCGTTCTACACATGGAATGCCAATCACTCTTCGACAGTTCAACGTTCAGTTCTACTTCCCATTTCAGTTTTACATATAGTGCGTTTCTTCCGTTTCATTTTTGTAAACTCCTGTACAGTTTGGAAACCAACTTTGAGGGGGGTTGTTTGTATGCACCTGTCAACACTTCAATCACTTCATTACCTTCTAATTAGTGTCTTTAATGAAGAAGATATATGGTATTTTTTCTTGCTAGGTACCAGACGTGGTGAATGCTAATGCACCAGTGATGGCAGTTCTGCCAGTGCCGGCCCCTGATACCACTAACACTGGCTCAGGCACCACTGGAGCCTCTGGTCTTGGATTCAAAGCAAAAAACGGGTCAAGATCCAGCCCCAAAACAGCATCTCGCCTGCAAAATACATCCAAGCCTGGCGCAGCGGGGGCTGTTGTGGTGGACCGGATGGTCACTGCCAAACAGAACCAGAACAAAGAGCTGGCAGAGAAGAAGAACCAGGCCATTAACCAGCTGAGGAAGCTGCTGGTCCAGGGGAATAAGAGAGTCGAGGCTCTGGCTATAGTCATCCAACAGCTCTTCACTGAGGTACTCCACTTATTTATATGTTTACCAAACAGCCAAAACACACTCACACCACCGGCTGTGGAGTGAAAGCTTCCATCCTTTATTTACTGTTCTTTACGAGGCGGAACAGATGTTTTGCACATTGTTATATTCTGTTAAAATGTCTACAATGCAGAGAAGGAGCACTCTGTGTAGCTGTGTGTCAAACAAAAGGGCAATAATCCAGTGCCGCTATCGGTGGTGATGTTTTGTCATAGCGGTTTTCAGTAGTGTTGGCAAGAAAGGCAACGCAGGAATGCAAATTACTGCATTTGCACTGCAAATATGCTTGGGCAGTGACTTTTTTTAATGAAACAAACCCAAGGAGTTCCTACTTCCCATGAAAGACTCTAGACTTTAATACATTTCTAGTCTTCCAACTACTCAAAGTGCTTTAACACTACATGTCATCATTCACCCATTTACACCCATTCACACACTGATGACAGGATAGCTCCTGCAAGGTGTCACCTGCATATCAGGACTATAACCCCATTCACACCATAGGTGTGTCTTGCTAAGGACATATCTGGAGCCGATCTTCTGATTGAAAGATGTCCTGCTCTACCTCTGAGCCACACACAGCTGTTAGCTAGTGAACATTAATATCTGGACAACTACACTGATCACTGTACTGTTTGAGCATCTTGCTTTGTACACAGAGATACACCCCCTCCTTCTGTTAGTTAGGGCCTCCAAAATATTTTGGATCTCAACTGTGACCTGTGTTTCAAAACATCAAAAGTGAGCTGGGAGGAAATGCGGAGATTTCACTGTGGTATCCAGTAGAGGCCAATATTAGTTGCTATGCCTTTTACACCTGCAGGCTGGTTAGCAAGCTAATGTTTTGTGCAGCTTTAATCAGGAGATTCCTCTCAAGTCTACTGACAAAGTAAACAAATCAACCATAATTACACTCCTTACAGCACAAGTAAACTGGGTCCAATTTGTTGTGCTGTTATGCATGTTTATCTATAATTTATGTTATCTCTCACCGGACCTCCATGGCACCAGCATGGCTGTTTACGTCGATATAATCAAATCATAAAAAATGGTGTTTTTTTCTAGTATGCTGTATGGTAGTAGGGTCAGCCTTATTTTTCAAATACGTTTTCTCTGGATGGGACTTCAATAAATATATATTGGATGCAGCCAGCTAGTGAGAGTTCCCCCAGAAATAATAATAGTAATTCTGGTAAATAAGATGGATCTGCAGCATCATTTAGTGGGGATGGGTCCCTTTCTTCAGCTGTAGCACCACACCACTTTAAATGAAGATAAGGTGGACATGTTTGTACATGTAAATACATTATGTTCTAGCACAGCTTCAAGGGGGGAAATGAGGGGAAATTATCAGTTATCTGCACACCATCCTTCCCCTTTGGCGAATTAGAGCAAAGCCTATAATTAAAGCATCACTCACAGTTGTTAGTGATTGAGCAGTGTTGCTTTTTTAAGTTGCTGGTTGACATGTATGTTGAGGGGGAGTGGAGTAATGGCTGTTTTAGTAGGCAGCAAGTCTACACCTAGCTGCCATTAACAACAACAGACATCTCGCTGCCATGCGACACTGATGTGCTGATGGATTTGTATTTACATATGTGTGTGTATAGAATGAACCTGTATGAAACTTGTCAAGAAGTTTACTCGACTTGCTCTCTCATGTGTGACTTCAGTCAGGCTCAGCAGCTCTGTAGCTCAGACACTTACAGTAAGTTGTTTATATTTGTGGAGCACATACACGCACACATACACCTGTATTGTCAAACTAATATGTACAACACGTGTATAGCATTTAACTGCTTTTTATTAAAATTATGAAACACCTCACTATTGAGATGACGTCACATTCTTCTGTCAACTCAATAGTGATAACTACACTATTAATGTTTAGAAGAAAAAGGAAATCGGAGGCCTAAAGTAAAATATTATCTTGTATACCTTTATATATTATTAAGAGCAGGTCACGGGTACGTAACTATAGTTATTGATAACTGCTTTGACATACTTATGAAACCGAAGGATTGAAGCAAAATATAAAACAGTAAAGTTGACCAATATAGTGAGAATCATTATCTTTACCTGTGGTGACCTGTGGTCAGCAACAACACAAACATACAAGGTGACCCTTCACTGATAAAACATAATGTGCAAATAGTACTAAGAAATTGCATTATATTCTTGCTTTGAAGATAATGAAAATGTACATAAACCTGAGACACACACATACACACACACACTTGTCCTCAGTGAGTGTGTGAGAAGTGCATGACAGACAGTTGTGCCTGCATGTCTCTCTGAGGGAAAGCAGCTCATTATCTGTTCAATAAGCTATTAGCAGCAGGAACAACCCTGAACACATACAGTAATGGATGTGTATGTGATTAACTGATTCATAACTCTCAGCACTGGCGTTTTGAATCAAGGTCTGATTACAATGGTTTTATGTATAAGGAGAAATGCTCCATTCCTGTGGATATTTCTCAGCATCGTATTGTGTAAGTGTGGGATTGTAATGTGAAGCTCAGCTGAGAGAGCTTTCAGATGGTTACAGTGCAGGAGCCTTCCTGACTGGGTTATTGATTAGATGGATGGCCCGGTGGAAAACATGGAGATGAAGGGGGAGTGACGAGGGAGGAGTGGAGGAATGCAGCAGCTGCAGTTCAAGCCGTGAAGCTCTTTGAAATGCGTGTCTGAGATTGTGTGTGTGTGTGTGTGTGTGTGTGTGTGTGTGTGTGTGTGTGTGT